TAGTGAAGCACTGGAATGGGTTACCTAGAGAAGTAGTGGAGTCTCCATCCCTAGAGGTGTTTAAGTCTCGGCTTGACAAAGCCCTGGCCGGGTTGATTTAGTTGGGATTGGTCCTGCCTAGAGCAGAGGGCTGGACTTGATGACCTTCTGAGGTCTCTTCCAGCTCTATGATTCTATGAAAAGTCCCAGTCGCTTTAACCTCTTCTCATATGGGACCCATTCTAAACCCCTAATCATTTTAGTTGCCCTTTTCTGAACCCTTTCCAAGGCCAAAATATCTTTTTTGAGGTGAGGAGACCATATCTGTACACAGTATTCAAGATGTGGGCGTACCATAGTTTTATACAGGGGCAGTAAGATATTCTGTGTCTTATTTTCTATCCCTTTCTTAATAATTCCTAGCATCCTATTTGCCTTTTTGACCGCCGCTGCACACTGTGTGGAAGTTTTCAGAGAACTGTCCACGATAACTCCAAGATCTCTTTCCTGATTTGTCATAGCCAAATTAGCCCCCATCATACTGTACTTATATTTGGGGTTATTTTTCCCGATGTGCATTACTTTACACTTATCCACATTAAATTTCATTTGCCATTTTGTTGCCCAATCACTCAGTTTGGTGTGATATTTTTGGAGTCCCTCACAGTCTGCTTCTGTCTTTTATGTGATATTATTAATAATTTTATCAAAGCAAAGGACCAGACTTATTTTTCTAAAATTTTAAGAAAAGGTATTATTTTGCAAATATAGCCCTCCCACCTATTTGAAATATCACTGTTCATTAGTAGAATACCCTGTTGAAAATTACAAAGGGAGTTCATTGTGTGCTTGAATCTGTGGCCCCTGAGAATTTAAAAGTAGGTTTAGAATGTAAAGTTTGAAATGAATAGCATTTTGTATTTTGCTAAGAAATACTGGATATCTTCATATTTGCCAATCACAATATCATGCAGTACGCTATATTGGCTTAAAGTAGATGCATTTTATGCAGCTGGGGTGTGTGTATAGATAAACGTGTGTGCGCGCACACATGTACACATGTGTAACCCAGGCCATTGATAATTCCATAAATATTTTTGCTTTCTTCATTCTAATATAGTGATGACATGAATTAATATTTGGAAGAAACATGATCTTGTATTTAAACCCATAAGAATCTGGAGATTTGGATTCTGTTCTTGTATTCTTCCTCAGACTTCCTGTGAGACCTTGGAAAAGTCATTTATCTATTTGTCTCAGTTTCCCCATCTATAAAATGAAAAAATGGTGAAAATACTTATTTCCCAGGAGTGATGAAAGGATTAGTTCACTTATGTGGTAAAGGATTATTGTATAAACATATATATTGCTTTCACAAAAAAGCTACAAAAAACATGAAATGCAATAATATATTTTGTCCTCTTCTGTGTATTGCATTACAATACAGTTTTTAATTACATAATCACATATCATTTTTACCACAGCATTCCTGTCTCATTGAGTGCCCAGAACGGGTACTACTTAATGAGTAGCTATTCAGTATTTTGTTCCTAGATCTTATTTACTGCACATTATTCAAATTTTGCAGAGTACTTCGCATTTAGCACTTTCTATATTAAAAGCAGAGCTCCTATTGACTTTAGTTCGGTGCTTCTGCTCACCAGATTCCAGGGTCTTTTGTCAGACACCTAGAAAGCGAGGAACACAAAATTAGGGATCACATGTGAAAGGTTTGGTTTAAGTGGCTTGGCTAGAATTATGTAGGAACACTGGTAAAGACAGGAATAGAATCCAGTTCTCCAAGGCAGCAGTCAACTACTTTTATCTCCTTTCTCTTCCTGCAGTCCTCTGCCTCATTATACACCTTCCCACTTCAGCAACAAATGAGGGAGGGATCCCATAAAAAGCAGTTTCTTATGTACAGAAAGCATATAAATTTGACCCCTTCTGTCCTGTCCCCTCCAACTTATTCTTGTCACTCTGCTCCATTAGCTTCCAGCATCAATCTCCTTGCTCAGCTAGTCCCATTCTCTCTCCACTCATGGACTGATTGCCAGTCTCCTATGCTCTTTCTGTTCCTAGCTCCAAATCTTCTTTTAGGCCAGACTAGATAATCTGATGGTCTCTTCTAGCATTAAGATATTTGAATCAGCCACCTCCCCAACTCAGTCTCTTTGCCCCTCTTCCCCTGTCCCATTCTCCCAATCCCAGTTTTCATCCTCCATTTCTCTCTCATCCGCTGCCTGTACCTATTCCCAATTCTGCATTCCTCACTCCAGGGTTTGTCCGAGGTGCCTTTCCTTTCACTCTCATCTAGATCTTAAGCATTTGAATAAAGCACCTTCCCCCTCCACACTGCCTGAGCCCATCCAGGAGAGACAGAGCATTGGCAAGATGGTCCCCCTGTTTCATTTCCAAAGTTTGGCTACAATTAGCAATAGGCAAGAGCTTAAATTGCAGAGAAGTTTTTGCTCAGCCTAGGGTTGAAACAAACATAATCTCATGGAATTTTTAGTTGGCAAACTCTAGCAAACCTCTGCTGAGCATGTGCAAAATGAGATTTTCAATGGTTTATAACTAAGGCTGTGTTTTAGTCATGGGTATTTTTAGTAAAAGTCATGGACTGGTCACAAGCAGGAAACAAAAATTCATGGTCCATGACTTGTGCATTACTTTTACTATAAACCCTTGTCTAAAACTTGTGAGGGATAGCTGGGGTATGTGTGTGTGGCCCTGAGGACACTGTAGGTGCTGGGAAGTGACAGTCAGGGGGCGTGGCCAGTTGGGGGGCACGGCCTGAGGGGAAGTGCCCAAGCAGCTATGTGCATTGGCTGCTGTAGAAGTCATGGAAAATCATAGAATCTGCGACTTTCATTACATTCTTGACAAACACAGCTTTATTTGTAACTTGTTCAAATTTGGGTAGATTTTTGTGTGGATAGCGAAAAGCACAAAGGCTGACCTGGAAACTGTTAAGGCCTTGCTTCAAAGTGTTGAGGAACTAGAGCTTTCTAGAAACATGGCCTCCATAATTTTTAAACAGAGACAAAAGAACATTGTTTTTCTCTTGACTCTGTTCTCTGATTTGTTTTTTTGGAAACTTTCCAGGAAAAGTCTGCCTGAGACAGATATCTTGTATAGAAAATTTCAGCCCCAAATATTTAAAGTATTGAAAGTTATAAACAACTGTTTTTCATGAGAAGTATTAGGCAACATTGATTATAGGTGGTGCTGTCATGTCATATAATTCCATTCTAAATGTTACCATGATAACAAGTAAGTTGTTTTAATGCTGTCACACTGAGAACTGAATAAAGGATCCTTAATTTGAAATACAGATATTTTGTGGGTGAAACATTAATGGGCCTTATTTGTAGTACAAATGTAGACTCAACATTTGTAGTTCACAGTAATTAAAAAATTCAAGTAAGTTCTACATTTTATACGTATATGGCCTGTACATATAATAGCTGGTATGATGAAAGAGGCAATTTTTTAATTGGTGGAGTGAAAAAGTCTGTTTGATATGCCATCTTAATGTATTTGGAAGCAGCGCCTCTCAACAGCATGTTGGCCACATATTATAAAGGGTTTCTGAGGCAGGGCATGCAAGTTGCCTACTTTATAGATAAAAATTCAAATTGGATAGCTGGGATAGAGAAGAAGAGAGGACCCCTCTGAACTGAGAGAAGATGACGGTAAAATGGTGAAGTTGAGAATAACTTAGGGGACTGGAAATAATAATTAGTAGTGCTCTGAGTAAATAATTGGTGGTGTAGACATTTTGTTTGCTTTTTGTTCAAAGAGTTTTCAAGGAAATAAAACCACAGAAACTAACATATAGTGGGTTTTGAGAAATAAAAAAATAAAGCTTGGTGGAAAAGAAATGTTACTTGTCACGGAATAGTACATTTTTCTTTTTTGTGACCCATGTACATATTTGGTGAAAGAGTATAAAAGAATCAGTCCCTTGCCTTTTTAAAATGAGGATTCTTTGGATAAAACAGCAGATAAATAAGGAGAATGGATACTTTCATGTTTTATAATGTGTCTGTATGTTCTTTGTTTATTCATTGCAGTCTATTATTCTTCCTGTTCACAATGCTGAATGTTGGTTGGATGAGTGCTTGAAGTCAGTTGTGGAGCAAGATTTTCAAGGTTCCCTGGAGCTGTCTGTGTTTAATGATGCTAGTAAAGTATGTATATTATTTATTTAATTTTAAAATATTATCTAACCTAACTTTTGTAAAAAAAATTCTTTTTATTTTATCTTCTGTAAGTTAAAATTGATATCTCTATATCATCATTTTCTTAGGATAGTTCAATGAGTATAATTGAAAAATGGAAATTCAGGTTAGAAGATGCGGGTATTTGGGTCATCATTGGTGGTCATGATTCGTCTCGACCTCAGGGAGGTATGTTGTTTAACAGTGATTTTAAAGAATAGCTAAATAATTTGGTTTAGCAGTTTAACTGATTGATCTGCCTGTTTATATGTTATCTGTTTGTCAGAGGCTGGGAATGGGTAGCAGGGAGGAATTACCTGCTCAGTTCATTCCCTCTGGGGCACCTGCTTTGGCTATTGTCGGAAGACAGAATATTGGGCTAGAAGATGGACTTTTGGTCTGACTAGTATGGCCTTTCCTATGATTTAAATGTAGACATTGAATTGGGCAGAAAGTTGGGAGAAGTCTCCTAGTAGTTTATTTTTCTTTTATTTATATTGTTTTTTCACAGTTCACATTTTGAAGATAATATTGCTTAAAATGTAAGAATTGATCAAAAAGTATGTTGATGGGCTTTTGGCGTACAGTAGCATCAAAGTTTGCTTATCAAGTAGTTTTTAAAATTTATCACTAATAATTAAAAAGTTAAGAATTAAAGCTTTCACAGGATTCCAGTTCATCTATTATATTTGGAAGAGTTTGTTTGTTTGTGGATTTGTTTGTACAAAATCAAGTCACTTCGGGATTACTTAAAGATACCAAATTTTGTATAAACAATCCTGCCACACAAATTAGCTGAGTGCACTACTTTTTACACCGGAATACACTGGGTGAAAGGTTTAAATAATTTTTTTATGATTAGAGTTCCTAGAAATATTTTCTGACAAAATTAAAATAGTCTTCTATTCAACTGTCATTTTAGTGCAAAGAAAAATTTTACTGTTACAAATCACAAAATAATTCAAATTAGTTACAGAAAGAGTAACAGAAGCTTTATAAGTTTCTGATTCAAATTTACTATGTATAGTAATTATTCAATAAAGTGAATAATGTTTGATGTTGAAATCTTACAAAATTAAAACTGTTATTTTACTTCCCTTTTGCAAGCACATTAATAAAAAAATCTGTTACATATATTTAGTTTCTTGAACTTTCCTATAAATGTAATCTATGCAAAATGACTTTGCCCTGTCAATGATAGGCCTCACCTGCTAGTTGATAATATTTTCAAGATACAACTCTAATTTTGACATTTGGAAAAGAGATTCTGTATTGCTTAGATTGTGGTGTTAAAACCCTACAATCTGTATCCACCAATATGTTACCAATATGCTCCCAGGATGCATCACAGTTGGAAACTAAGACTGTAGCTTTATTGACATGAGATTGATGTGTTACCAGATTTTTTTTTTTAATAGAGCATTTACCCCAGTAGTAAAGTACTTTGTAGATATGTAATTCATTGCTTTTGCCTGGGGGCAGCCTTCTAGGACTGCAGTCAATAATCAACTATATTGATTTGGTAAATATTGCCATTTGCTACTTGTATAGTAAACAGTAATGTAATAATATTAATATAATGCTTAACTACATTGTATTTGCATTCCGTTCTCAGTTAGCCACATTCCTCTCCATAGAGAGATTGTTGTAGAGTGGAGTTTTAAAAATATTCCTATTTGATTGCCTCTGAATACTCTATTAGCTTTGCAGTTTGTGTGTTCTGTTTGGAAGAGATGCAGATACTGTTTAAGAAAGAACCCAAATAACCTTGTCTATTTATGCTATATTTATTTAATACATATTTATGTATTTAATATTTATATATTTAATTATGCTATATTTAAATGTACACCTTAATCACATCACCTGCAGTTGAAATTCTCAGTCCTCCATCAGTGTAGCATGAGACATTGATTACTGCAGTGCAGTTCATATCATTGTTACTTTTCTTATTTTTCTCTCACCTTTTTCTGCCCCTTCCCTCTTTTGTGTTCTACCCAACTATGTGTAAGTTTGCTCAGGCTGTTCCCACACTGTCAATTCACTTCTCTTTCTGAGGTCTTTTTCAATTTGACTAGCACACGAGCAGAGAACAAAGTGGAAGACTGGTCAGAAGAGCACTTCCACATGGGGAAAAGGGAGAGGTATCTCGTCTTACTTGCAGTATATAAGCAAAGCTAGGAGGAGAATGGTATGCTGTGGGTACTGTATAGGCAGCACCCCAGAAAGGCAGTATTTAGTGATAGGGAGATGAGGATAGAAAACTGACCTTAAACAAATGTCCTGCAACATACTAATAATTTGAGAAGCATAATTTTGGAACATACTGAAACAATACCATGGGTCAGGTTCTACTTTCTTTGATGAAGCAACTTACTTTCAGCCCAAAAGAAATTGTACTCTATCTTGGTGATACAGTCCCATTCAAGAAAGGCCTGCTTCTATTTCAGGTATTGTTTGCTTCCTCTTCATAAACCTTTCCAAATAGTTTTGGTGCCATTATATGGAAATAAATAAAATTTAATTTGTGCAGTGAATTAATCTGTGTGTGCCGTGAATTAATCTGTGTAAGTTCCTCCAGCTTTCACAAACAAAACTTAAGCAAAAAAAAGTTGTTCATGTCATCTTATTAAATAATAAAATAGTTTTAAAAACCAGGTTATTATGTAGAAGTCAGTTTTAGATCATTACTCAAAAAATGATCTCTTGTTTTAGTGGTGGTTACAATTAGAAAGCCGGGGTAGTTTGAAATCTTTATTATTGTTTTGTTTTCAGTGATTTATGTGGTATATTTATGAGTAGTTACAGCGGTAAGGAATATTTCCTATGATAGAAGTCCCAAAACAGAAACAATGTAGCAGTCGGTATTCAAGTCTTGGGCTATTTATATGGGATTAAAATTCATTTCTGATTCTTTTCTGTCATGTAAAAGAAAGAGGGGGAAAAACTAAAAAAGAAAGGGTTGCTGGCTTTAAAAAAATCCTTTTTCTTTCCAAGAGCAAGGAATGTTAATATCTCACTGAGGCTTAAGTTTTTACTGTTGTGACCATAGTAACAGGCTCTTTTCATCAAGTAAGCAGGCCTTACAAAACAGAGTTGCTGGCACAAACATTTGATTTTCTTCAGTACAGTAATATTAAAAAAAAATCTTTGCTTATGCCAAACACCGGATTCATTGTGGGAAACCAATTTTCAATATCTAGTTTCCCTCGGGAGTTAAATCTCTTCTTAAATCTCAAAATTAGCATACCTTTTTTATTTGTAAGACATTGTTATAAATAACCATTTAATAAACGTCCAGACATATTTTAATCTAGAAAAAATATTTTATACTTTTTTTGCAAAACAAACATTTTATACATCAATTTTTCCTAAAAGATCTGATTTAAAAGCAGAATCTTTTATATTTCAGAAACTTTTAACTGTCACCTTGAAATTGAGCCACTTTGCCTTTTTTTCTTGATCACTGTTAACATGTACTTCATTCATTTTACATTGATGACTGTTGAAATATCATGAAATATGCATAGAGATGTGATTACAGTTGTTCCTGGTAGAAAAGGTCCAATGCAGGGTCTAGGAGTGCAAGGTCAACTCTAGCCAACTCTTTTTTTCTGTTTCCCTTAGGAGAGAATTGTTCAATACTATGGCTTCTCCTGCTTGGCATGTCCAGACCTGCTGATTTCCTTTAGCTGTTTCTTACTGAAGCTGCAGATGCCAGATATTCAACTCTTGGTCTGTGCGAACTGTTGAATTTACCAACTGGTTTTGTCTTACTAGAGCCCTGCAAATCTGCAAATATCCACTTTATATCCACAGGTATCTGCATCCACGGATATGGATAACTGCAGCTCATTTTTGCAGATATGGATGCAGATACAAATTTTGCATCTAGAACTCTGAAAATTTCTGGATATCTGCTTTATATACGTGTGGATATCAGTGTGGATATTCGTACCTCATTTTTGCAGATACAAATTTTGTATCCATGCAGAACTCTATTACATATATAAGGCGTTAAAAACAACTAATTTTCGTGTAACCTTGAGTGTTACTGCACTGTTGGTGGTTAGGCCAAAGTGCTCCCTGGAGATAATGGAAAATGCAGAGAAGAAATTATCGCTTTGCTTTGAATTCTCAGGGAGAATGGTGAAAGACCTATCTGTACTATAATGGACTCACGGAAGCCTGTGAAAGCATAGGTTTTTTTTGTTTGACTTTTAGTATGAATCTGTCTATATTACAAATTACAGTTCAGAGCTCTGTCTTGGTTAGGGAACATGCCTAAAGTCTCACCAAAATTCTTTTCTGTAAATACTGATCAGGCAACTTTATTAGAATAAGAACTACGAAGTTATGATGTTGAAACTAATGTCAACATGCAGAAGTCACAAAGAAAAGTAGCCAAAGTGTGTTCACACTTGCTCTATCTGTCAACAGAGTGTGTCCATAATTTTTAGCTACTTCATCAACAGTTTCCCATTGTGCTTGGTGAGACTATCTGTCGCTAGGCACTGTGGGAACATAGAAAGGAGAGTGGCACATCTTGGGACTGTGTAAAATGTCTTATCAGGCACTGCTTTGTTTCCCAGCCCTCAAGAGATTTCTGGTTTTCTTTCGTGCCATTTTTCCAACTGCCATTCTTTGCTGTAAAAAAGCTCCAAGGGGTAGCCAAGTTTGTCTGTACAGGATAAACTTAAACAACAACAAATAGTCTGCTAGCACTTAAAAGATTAACAAAACATGTAGATGGTATGAGGTCTCGTGGGCACAGCCCACTTCTTCAGATGACCAGAGTGTTGGATGTCAAGAACTAAAATAAATGGGGGAGGAGGAGGAGAAAAAATGAGGGGAGGAAGAAGAGGTAGTGGGTATAAAAATATCAAAGGGAAAGCCGGAGCTGGAATGTAACAGGAAAAACAAATAGTCCATTAGCATGAGTATCAAACTTGTGAATGAATTGTAGATCCAGTGCTTCCCTGTGTATTTGGCTTGTGGAATTGGTCTGTAATGAAACAGCCACTTGAAGATCTGTTAATGAACACCCTGGTAGGGTGAAGTGTTCCCCAACTGGTTTTTGTATGTTCCCTTTAGGGATATCTGATTTGTGTCCATTAATTCTTTCCCAGAGGGACTGTCCAGTTTGTCCAATATATATTGCAGTGGGGCATTGCTGGCATTTGATGACT